GTTATCGCCAAATGTTGGAAAGCCATGCTGTGTTTCCTCTCCAAAAACCGAAACGCGACTTTTTCACCCAAGCTTTTAATTCATAACATCTTTCTGATTTGACAGGACACCGCTCTGAGTGCATGGTATTACAATTTTTGGAAAATTTTAGAAAATAATACTATTGTACATTGAAGGTTACATCAAGGTTGAATTTTGGTGCACTGCGCATATCAAATCCAAGAAGAAACGAAGGTTGGGAATAGCCACACCCCGGCAGACGTCTATCTCGCTTCTTTTGAACGATCAGATTTTCATAATAACTAGAGTTCGGATGTGTATCGTGTTTACAGCTAAACATAATTGAGCACTGACTGTAGAAGTTCTCTCTTTTAAAAATTGGGGTTAAAGTTAACTAATTTTAGCCAAGCAGTTCGCGTTGACAATACCATCTACGTCAGTGGTTCATTAGGGTTAGATCCCAAAAGTGGTGAACTGAAGGAAGGTGTAAAGGAACAAGCGCATCAATCCCTCAAGAATATCGGGGAAATTCTTAAGGCAGCCGGGGTTGGGTATGGAAATGGTGAGTGTTGAATAGATTGCAAGCTCTTTTCAAAAAATTTGTCTAAAAATCTGTTTAGTTGTAAAAACCACAGTTCTTTTGGCAAATATCAACGACTTCGCTACAGTAAACGACATCTATAAAGAGTATTTTACGTCAAAGTACCCAGCAAGGGCTGCTTATCAGGTAAATTTGAGCCTTTTCAAAAATATCTCGCTATAAGACTAACTTTATTTGTTCCTTTAGGTCGCTGCCCTGCCGAAAAATGCTCTTGTCGAGATAGAAGCTATAGCAGTGGCGGGTGAAATTAAAGACGCTTAGAGAGAAAAGTAATTTTCTATGTTGAAATCCGGTGAATCTTTTAATGGTCTAGTTATTGTATGTAAGCAGATGTTACGTACTGCCATATTCCCAGTTCTAATAAAAATTGATATATTTGTGTTCGAGGATAAATTATGTTATTCGTATGATGATATTTGTAAAATATTGCAATGGCTAAGAATATTCTGAACTCAGACGAATTTGTCAAGAAAAAGTTTGTCATTTGAATGCATTTAAATAAAACCATATAAATAATGAAATACAGAAAGGAGATAATGATAGTCAAATAGATATTGAACTGACATGAAATGAGTAAGAATAATGAAAATAAATAAAAATGCAGTTGAAAAGCTAAATCTAGAAAATAGAAGGTCAGCTTGAATTTGCTATGGAAGTGTAATGGGGCAAGCGCTTCGAAATAAACCATTTATTACAACCTCCCTTATATGCGTGTGTAGGAGTGATTAGAATGTTGCGGATTAAAGAGTAATCAGATTAATGACAGGACATTAGCTTTCATTGTATAGCAAATAATATATTAATGTTGAAAATTTAGGTTTGATCAGTAAATATCTGAACAGAAATGAGAATCACATAACTCGTGTTGAATTCAAAGTCGCAATCAATAAATGGCAAAGTCCCAATCATGCATTTTTTTTGGCAGAATTAAACTTTCAGAATAGATCTGTTCTCGTTCTCTACCATTATTACCCACTTGCTTCTCGCCCTATCCTTTCACAACACTTGATAAATCTCCTTTTGGGGAACGTCACAGACCCGATTTGAATTTACTTCTATAGTACCTCTTTCCATTCAGTAGAACTCTGAGAAAATAATCTACATCAAAGTCCATTTATTTGAGTTATTTTCCTCATCTTTCTTCGCGTATTTGCCCAAATCATCGAAAAATGACAGATTCTTGAATAACAGCGTTTTTGGTTCTTTTCTCACTTACTTAGAATCTGTTCTATTTCTTGAAAAATTGTAGGCTAAACAACTTCAAGTAGAACTGGAACAGAAAGACCAGCACATGAGGGTGCTTACTGAAATATGCATAATATCGCGCAACGCTTGCGCGCTTGGTTTAATGACTATAGTTGGCGATTCGCCCCATTTGTCTACATGAGCTTGGCACGACGAGATCGCAACGCTATACCTTCTACAATAGACATCACTAAG